ATTGGCAAGAAATTGGCGGATTAAAAACAACAAAAAAAATTATTGAGGATAAAGTTATCTTTCCTGTTCTTTTTCCTCAACTTTATAAACAAATCGGTAAGGGTTTAGGGTTTAGGGTTTAGGGTTTAGGGTTTAGGGTTTTTTACAAGGGTTTAAGATTGTTTAGGAAGGGTTTAGGAGGGTTTAGGGTTTATTAAGGTTTAATAAAGTTTAGGGGAGTTTACAATTTAGGGTTTTGAATATAAATTCCTGTTTCCAATCTTTCCATGGGTTTAGGGTTTAGGGTTTAGGGTTTAGGGTTTAGGGTTTGTGTATTAGGGTTACGTCGTCCTAGCGGGATATTAATGTTTGGTCCTCCTGGGTGTGGGAAGACTTTGTTAGCGAGGGCATTAGCAAAGATATGTAATGCACATTTCTTCTCTGTAAAAGGTACGTCTAAACCCTACAGCCTAAACCCTAAACCCTAGAAATTTCCTAGATGGTGTCCACTACCAGCATATATATTTTTTTCGTGTTTTGTTATTATTTCTTATAATTCCCACCAAAAAAATAATATCAGATTTTTAGGGTTTAGGGTTTAGGGTTTAGGGTTTAGGGTTTAGGGTTTAGGGTTTAGGGTTTAGGGTTTAGGGTTTTAATTTTTTTTTGATAGGACCTGAATTATTAAGTAAATATGTAGGAGAGAGCGAAGCATCATTAAGAAGATTATTTAGCAAAGCACAATTCTTTTCTCCCTCTATTATTTTCTTTGATGAGATTGATGGTCTATGTAATAAGAGAGAGGGGGCCCTTAATGATAATAATTTACAATTAACAGGGGCCCCCTATTCATATTGGCGCAGACAGCAGCAGCAGCAGCAGCAGCAGCAAGAGCAGCAAGAGCAGCAGCAGGAGGAGGAAGAAGGAGATGGAGAGGAAGAAGAAGATGGTGATGAAGAAGAAGGACAAGAAGGAGAAGAAGGAGAGAAGAAGAAGAGAAAGATTCGTGATAAATCTTCTTACCCTTCCTCTCCTCGCCGTCGCCGCAGCCACCGCAGCAGCAGCAGGATAAGACCCATCAACAGCAACAGCAGCAGCAGCAGCAGCAGCAGTCGTGTAGATGAGAGATTAATAGCACAAATGTTAACATTATTAGATGGTATATATACAAGAGAAGAAATATATATAATAGGTGCAACTAATAGACCTGATTGTATAGATACAGCATTATTAAGACCAGGTAGATTAGATATTCAGGTGTATGTACACCTACCTTATTATATAGATAGATCTAATATATTCAGATCTAGATTAAGAATCATGATTAAAGATATTGTCCAGCAGCAGCAGCAGCAGCAGCAGCAGCAGCAAGGGGTTGTGCTGCTGCAGGAGGAGCAGCAGCAGCAGCAAGATGATATTGTTGAGGAGAAGCTGCTGCACTTTGATTTTGATCAACTTGCTAGAGAAACTGAGGGGTAAACCCTAAACCCTAAACCCTAAACCCTAATAATATATAATATTCTTATCTTTAAGAATAATGCACAACAATTACAGCGGATTAGGGTTTGCTGCTATGCTGCTGTTGTTCTTGTTGTTGCTGCTGCTGCTGCTGTTGTGCTGCAGGTTTAGTGGGGCAGATATTGATGCGGTGGTGCGAACAGCAGCAGCAGATCTGCTGCAGCAGCAAAGAGATGAATTTGTTAAAGTTCTTAAGCAGCAGGTTAAGGCAGAGCTGCAGCAGCAGCTGCAGCAGCTGCAGCCCAGCAGCAGCAGCAGCAGCAGCAGCAGAGGCTACTATGCAATTAAGGCAGCACTACAAGAACTTGACTCCCTCTCTGCCCTTGAGGTGTATGGACTATGTAACCGTCTTGGTGGTAGTCTTGCTGCTGCTGCTGCTGCTGCTGCTGCAGCAGGAGGTGCTGCTTCTGCTGCTGCTGCTGCACTGCAACTAAATCAACAACAACTACTGCATGCAATAAAAAAGACTAGACCCTCCGTTACCCCCCAACAAGTTGCCTTCTATGATAAATATGCGGAGACAGTTGGGGCTTTTGATCCCCTTGCATGCACAGATACATAAAAAAGTGTCTCTCCTTTTTGTCTCCTTTTTTACTTATTTATTTATTTATTTATAACTATTTATTTATTAACTTATTATTTATATTTGTCTCCTTTTTGTCTCCTTTTTATTTATTATTTATTATTTATTTATTATTTTCCTCTTATTTGCCTATAATAACTGTCCCCTATATATATAAGTGTCTCCTTTTTCTTCTTTTTTTTATTTGTCTCCTTTTTTTTTTTTTTATTTTGTCTCCTTATGCATGCATGCATGCAATAAAAACAATAAATAACAACAAAGTTGTTTATTGCTGTTTTGCTGCTGTTTAGTAATAAACAGCGCAATAACCCAAAAACCCTAAACCCTAAACCCTAAACCCTAAACCCTCACAAACTGCAATTACATTTAATTCACACATATTTATATGGCGGCCGTAGCATTTGCTGTTGTTGCTGCTGCTGCCGCTGCTGCCGCTGCTGCTGCTACTGCTGCTGCTGCTAATAGAGCCGCAGAGCGCAGCTTTAGTTCCTGCTTGCTGCTGCTGCAGCACTGCTTCTCTGTCCTGCTGCACTCCTAGCAGCAGCAGACGGACCAGGAGCAGGAGGAGGAGGATAATCAGGAGGAGGCTTAGACCCGAACCAGCTTTGGAATCGGGGGGCACTAGACAGCCCCGGGCTGCGGGCCCCCCCAGGTGTCTTGGGGGGCCTATCTGCTGCTGCTGCTGCTGCTGCTGCTGCTGCTGCTGGCTTTTGTTTTGCTGTTTGTAGTGGTGGTGGTCTCTTTGATGATTTGCTGCTCTTACCCTCTGCTTCTGCTGCTGATGGGGCCGCTCGCTGCTGGGGGCCCTTCTCTGCTGCTCCTCCTTCTTGCTGCTGCTGCTTATTAGAGGAACGCCTCGTTATATTCAGCAGCAAATAAGCACCAAAGAGAAGAGCAGCAGACTGCAGCAGCAACTTGCGCAGGCGTCTGCGGCCTCGTATAGCAGCAATTGCTGCCGCAGCTGGGTCATCTACTGTTGCTGTTGCCGCTGCAGAGCCAGGTGCAGCAGCGGACATATGACCTGCTGCTGCAGCAGGAATTGGGTACTCGAACCCTGCTGCTGCTGGTGCTGTAGGAGAGAAATACAATTCGCTGCCGCTAATGAGAGGGTCACTGTACCCGTGTTGCAGTGTCCTTGTTTGCTGCACATTTATATAAGGCATAGAAGGGTAGCCTGCTCCTGCTGCTGCTGCTGCTCCTGCTGCTGTTGCTGCCAGCAACGAGGCGAGGAGACAGGCAGCGCCGCCGCAACCGTGCCTCTGGGCGGCCATTGGGAAGAAAACAGCTCACTTGCTGCTGCAACAGAACAGCCGGATCTACATTTAAAAGGAAGCTGTTGCTGCAGCAAGCTATAGGAAGGAAGCAGCTGCAGCAGCAAAGAACAACTGGTGAGGGGCCGCGGCGCCGCTGCCGTGCTGCAGCAGCTGCCTAAGAAGCCTAATTATACTGTAGTGAGTTATATCGCATTTAAATCTATTATTACAAAATTATTTAAAGAAAAACTGTTATAGAGGAGCCCTCAATCGCGCCATCAGCTGCTGCTGCTCCTGCTGCTCCTCCTCCCGCTGCCCCCGCTGATGAAGCGCCTCGGCGCGCAACAGCAGCAGCAGCCGCTGCTGCTGCTACAATACTCTCGACAAGGACAAGGGCAGCACTAAATTATAAATTAATTATAACATTTTATTAATATACAGTTATAGTCTATAAATTGAATAACTTTTCTTTCCCTGCAGCAGCTGACTATCTACTACACAGGCACACAACCGTCATTCTCTATTGGTCCTCCTGCTAATTGTTGTTTGTTTTCTTGTTTTTCCTTGTAAGAAAGACAAAATATAATATTGAATTTTTTTTATACTTCTGCTGCTTCTGTTACATTCCCTACATCAATTATACTTTTAGTCATCAGACTTGATCAGTCACCATTTGTTACTACACAAAATCCTTAAATAAATAAAGAAGGAAAAGACTTTTCCCTGCACGGGGCCCCACACATGCGTGCATACACTTGCTGCGGAGCTTAATTATGTAAAATGATGTCTGCTGCAGCAAAATAATCTACTCTGTGAATCTTTTTTATTCATCCTTTTTTCTTTTTATCCTTCGTAGAGGTAGTGCCTGCTGATAGGCAGATAATTATATATACCTGTTGACGACAGATCTAATGCATGCAACAAAATGGGGCTTGAATATTCCCGCAGATGGGGTCGAATTGCAGCAAGGATAGCAGCAAAAGCAACAGCCATGATACGCAGTCATCCCCCTTACCAGAGGACCATCTCTAGCTACACGAGACGCAAAACCCTTGACGTATGATCCCCCCTTATCCACCGAACTAACCTCATCTCTGACTTAACACAAGCCTTAACACAGTGAGACACCACCTTTCCGTGTGGCAAAAGGAAGGGTTTAGGGGTTTAGGGTTTAGGGATTGGGATTTGGTGTTTAGGGTTTGGTGTTTATGCAGCTTTCCATGTGCTCGAACACATCTTGGCGTAGCCCCTGGAGGGAAAGCACGCCCAGGTGCAACCATATTCACGCCTCGATCGCTGCATGCACAATAGAACTGCAAATGATTCTTGAACAGTTCCTTGACTCTCGGCATCGATCACGAATGCACGCAGAATGCACGGACCACATCCCTATTGCCCGCAGCTTTTTTTCCTTCAGGCTGCGCAAGCGTTTTGTGCGCTTGGCTGCTCAACTAGGGATAGTGGGATCGAGGGCAGGAAATGAAAAAGCAAGATAGTGCACATAATCTAAACACAAAAACATGTGGCGGGAGGAGAAGTGTGCTGGCACCTGTGTGGCGAGAGCCCATCGCAATGGCAACAACGGCCTGGCCTCTTCACAGTCAGGCACAGTCTCTGTATCGTGAGGCACCTTTTGACTTGAACCTCTCAACACATATACAAGCCTGCTGAGACAAGAAGCAGGTATTTGGTCTGCAGGGTCAAGCTCTCCTGCGAGTCCCCTAAGGCCTCGAATACGACCCAGCCTCCAAATATGAAACATACGAAAGTATTGTCATCCGCGGCGCCAGCGCCGCGGAAAATGGGCGCATGCATTTAGGCTGAGAATATATTGGACCAGAGAGCAAGTAAAAATTTTAGACGTACTGCTTCCCCTTTACGCGTGACACAGCAATTATCTGTATGAATGGTTCATGTTGCACACAGCCCCTTCTAAAAGCCATGTATCGGTCAATGAAGGCACGCCTACGATTATGAGTAGTAGGTATTTCAGGCAAGCGATCCTCATAAACTCATTGTGGGCTCCAGCAGCCTCGGCTCGGCAGTTAATGAGCGATTCGCGTATTCAAGAAACCCCGTGCTGCGTTCGGGATGTGTCAAGCGCCCCATTATTTGCTTGTGCTTGCTCCCCAACACAGTGACGTTTCTTAACTCTCATGAAAGGAATTCGAAGAAGTTTTGATGAAACGAGTAGGAAGAGTACAATAACAGAATTTCCGAACTAGCTGAGAACCAACAACAACCCAGCAAGCGGAAACGAGGTTGGTGTGCACGCCGTCTTGTGAAGTTCGGAGAGAATGCGAATCCATCAAAACAATTTAGAGTCTGGTGCTTATGAGTCTTCTTCGAGCACTCCCGGGACAGCTTCACACTGTGCATATCACTAGGGAGGTGCAAGCGTAAGGGGAAGACGTCGGCCAGCTAAGTCTAGGGGAGTTCTTGTCTTGATTATTTTGGCTTTCATTCACATCACGACAGTCTCCAATTATGGACAAAATTTCTCCTTACATCTTACTGGGCTCTTGTGTTTGTTGTCCATGCATGAAGGTTTCGATATTTGCCTGCTAAAAGCTGAAGTGTGAGTACACCTCAGCCTCAGCTTTGGTAACATCTTTGGTTATGATGTGCCCTCTCGTCTCATAGATTTTAGGTGCATGTCTGTGCTAATATCAGCGTCATCCTTACAGTCAAGACCCCGTTGGCAACAACCGGTGGAGGGACGACAGCAACCAGCATGAGGATTTTGTATAAGGAAAAACAATGGCAGCAGTCGCAGCAACAAGCAACCTTCACAGCAGCTGCTGCAATCGTTAGCACACATCAACAGAAAAACAGTAGTAGCATTAGCAGCAGCAACTTGTGGCAACATTATGCTCGCGGTTAGGGCAGCATCGCCGTCGATAGAGGGAGATGAATAGTGTCTGCAGCTCTTTAGGGTGCTAAAGAAGCTCCCCTCAATATTAGTGCATCTATTATTTAGGGTTCAGGGTTTAGAGCTTCACTCCGTGCAGGGGGAGATGTACGGGCACTCGAGGGAGGGGGGAGATGAGGGTATAATTAGAATGTCTTCGCGATGCCCATTGCTAGAGCTGCTGCAGCAGTTACTTTCACAAGCAAGTGGCAGCACCAGGAGCAGCAGCAGCAGCAGCAACCGCAGCAGCAGCAACAACTGCAGCAGCTGCACAAACGGTCGCAGCAGCAGCAGCAACTCACAGAACAACCCCACCGCCCTGAGGCCCCCCCACCAGTGGATGTCTGTAGGCAAATGGCGGGGCAGGGAGAAGCCTAGAGAATACAAAAAGGGCTTTCGATCTGCTGCAGTTGCAGCAGCAGTAGCAACAACAACAACAATAGTGAGAGCAACAGCAGCAAGGGGAGCATCGCTGCAGCAGCTGCAGCAGCAGCAAGAGAAGCAAGCAGACCCAGGAGGCCCCCCACCCGCAGGGGAATGGACTACTGTACCGCTCGTGTAAGACAGCCAACCTACCTTCAAAACAAACCCTAAAACCCTAAATCCTAAACCCTAAACCCTAATTCTTATAATACCGTTGTTAATGCAGCAGCAGCTTGACAGAGTACGGGGCCCCCCTCCCAGAGCAGCAGCAGCAGCGGGTCGCTGGCTGCGGCAGCCTTGGGGGTCTTCTGTCTCTGCTGCTGCTGCGGTTTGCATGCAGTTTATTTATGTTTGTTAGTTAGAGTTGTTCGTCTCTGTAGGCGTTGCTGCGGGAGCTGGTGGAGCTGCAGCAGCAGCAGCAGCTGCAGCAGCTCCACTGCACTGCTGCTGCTGTTAGGCCGACGGCTACGGCTGCTTCCTGCTGCCGCCGCAGCAGGGAAATCAGCAGCAGCTGTCTCTTTTAGCTCTTCTTTCTTCTTTTTGCCTCTGTACATTCACCTGGTGTTGCTGCTGCTGCCAGCAGAAGAGCTCCCCCCTTCGAGACACGCAGCCCACGCGAGTGGCCCCAGCGTAGCAACGGCAGCAACTGCAGCAGCTGCAGTGGCAGCAGCAACAGCCGCTGCTGATGCTACAGTGGCTGCTGTTGCAGCAGCAGGACACCCTGAAGAGCACGTCCCGAGTCCCGACAGCTGGATCCGTTTGCCGACCCCTGTCTGGTGCAGTAGGAGCAGCAATAACACGAAGGAGCTGCTAGAATAGCAGCAGCAGCTACAGTAGCAGCAAGAACAGGAGCCGCAACAGTAGCATCATCAACAGCAGCAGCAACACTACGGAGATTTAACGACAGGGTTACCTCTCCGTAGGTGCCTGATGGGGTCTGTTGTTTGCAGCAGCAGCGGTAGCAGCAGCAGCAGCAGCCGTAGCCTCGTTATCCTGTAGAGGAGCAGCTTCTGCAGCAGCAGCGGCAGTCGCACAGCACGGCCATGCCATCTGAAGCGCATGCAGGGCCCTCTGGGGCTGCTGCCGCTTCTGCTGCTGCTGCTGTTCGTGGTGACTCAGAAGAAGAACTCTTTTGGGCTAACCACGACGCTAAGCTTTTCTCTCGTGTCAATCCGCAGCTGCTGCAGCTGCTGCAGCAGCATCAGCAGCAAAGCAAGGCATTCTTGGACTTCACGTTGCCTCTCCTAGAGACGCGCAGTAGATGCCGGAAACAGCAACAGCAGCAGCAACCACAACAGCAACAGCAACAGCAGCAGCAGGCGGTGGTGCATACTGCATCGCTGATCCTCGCTCCTGAGGATTTGCATGCAACAGAAGATGATGCTGCTGCGCACAGATCTGAGGAGGAGGAGCAGCAACAGCTGCTGCTGCAGCTGGAGAAGCTGCAGCAGCAGCTGCAAGAGGAACAGAGGAGGCACCAACAGAAAGAGCAACAGCAACAGCAGCAGCGGCAGCAGCAACAAGCCGCAGGAAATAGCAGCGTATCCCCAAGCCCGGTAGCGGAGAAGCGGAGGGCGACGGATCCTAGCAGCAGCAACGGCAGCACCAGCAGCAGCGATGATCCAACTGGGGGCGTGTCTGGTTCTGCTGCAAATGCGCAGCAGCAGCAGCAGCAAGGATCTGCTGCTTCGAGTTCTTGCTCAGATAGTTCCATTTCTCCCACCAGCAGCAACAGCAGCAGCAACGACGGGAGCATCGATTTGGTGTCTGCAGAGACGAGTTTATTTTCTTGGCTTCCTGTGTCTCATTGTCCTTCTTTGCTGCTGCTGCTGCATCAGCAGCAGCTGCTAGCGCATGCACCTTATCAGACAAGAGACACAGGAATGGCGTATAGGGAGAGGGAAGCAGGTTCGCAGACTTTATTAGATTTAATAGTAAAAAAGAAACCTGCTGCAGCACAAAGACACCAGCAATGGAGACACGGGGGGGGAGGACGCAGCTGCAGCAGCAGCAGCAGCAGCACCAACAACAGTGCCCAGCGTGCAGGAAGCGCGAGGGGCAAAAGATCCACGGATGCATCTGCAGGTGGTGCATCAAATGCAGCAGGCGCAGCAGGTGCAGCAGGTGCATCAGGTACAGCAGGTGCAGCAGCAGCAGGCGGCTCTGCTGCTGCTGCTGCTGCAGATGCAGAAGATGAATCTGCATGCGGCGCTGCTTTTAATCCCCTCTGCAACAAGAAATGGGATGGACAAAGATTACCTCCGGTGTCCATACACCCCGAGCCTGAGGGTGCTGTGTTGTCGCTGCTGCTGCCTTCGGGTGTCACTGCAGCAGACTTCCCCCCTGAACTAGATAGCTGCACAAGCATAGATGAGCTGTTACAACTTGTTGCTGCAGCAGCAGCAGCACAGCAGCAGCAACAACAGCTGATGCTGCCACATAGCGATGCAGCAGACGCCTCTACTTCGTCTACAGAATGGGGCATGCAGCAGCAGCAGCAGCAGGGAGAAGCAGGTGCAGGTAGAACGTCCCGCAGGCCTCTGCCGCTTCCGCAGGTCCTTAGCGGGCCTACTGCAGTGTGGCTCTCTCCCCCTGCAGCAGGAGCAGCAGCATCAGCAGCAGGGGCAGCAGCATCAGCAGCAGCAGTCAAACGTGAAGCCAGCAGCAGCCCAACAGCAGCAGCAGCAGGGAGAGGCGGGGAGGATGAGGCTGTCTTGCCTCTTTATTCTCAATCCTACATAGACGGTCTAGACACCCGAAGCCGCGCTGCTCTATGGGCGCGCGTAGGGAGGGAGCAGCAACAACTGCAGCAGCAGCTAAAGCAGCAGCAGGAGGAGCAGCAAAAGGATGCCAAGGTGTGTTCTGCTGCAACTTCAGCAGATGCTGCAACAAATGGTGCAGCAGATGCTGGAGCCGGCGACGACGTGCTGCTGCCTCCACGGCCTGCTCATGTGCTGCCTCCCCTGTTTTGCTACTGGGAGCAGGATGAGAACCGCCCACAACAGCAGCAGCAGCAGCAGCGGGTGTCTCCTTTCCCCCCTGCAGCTGCAGCCGCATGCCCCGAAGACGCAACAAAGAGGACAGGTATCCCTCTTGCTTTAGATTATAATAAAGAGAAAGGAGTGCTGCTGCCGCTGCGGGGCTTAGAGAAGCAACACCAGCAGATGCACCGTGTAATCACAGCAGCAGCAGCAGCACCAGACGCAGCAACGGCAGAAGGAGGAGGAGCAGCATCAACGGCTGACACGGCATCAACAAAGACAACAGCGGCTGAAACAGAAGCAGCAACAACAGCAACAGCAGCAGCAGGACCAGCACTCGGAAAGACGGCTGGCCACGCATCAGCAGAGGCTGAGACAGTAGTAGCAGCAGCACTGTCCATCCAAGAAACAGCAGCAGCAGCTGCTGGTGCACCTGCTTTAGCTGCTTCTGCAGCACCTGCTGCCGCTCCTGTTGCTTCTGAAGGGAATCCACCCGAGCTGCGTCTAGAGGCTGCAGATGCAAGCTTGCAGGAGCAAGCCCAGCAGCAGCAGCCTCAGGAGGAGGAGCAGGAGCAGCAAGAGCAGCACCAGGAGCAGCAGCAACAACAGGAAACGCAACTTCGTCAGGCTATGCAGCTGGATGGCGACAAGCAGGTGCAGCTGAAGGTTGATGATAGTGCTGAGCAGCAGGAGAAACAGCAGCAGCAGCAGCAGCAGCAGCAGAAGCCTGTAGGAGATACGTGGATTGAGACGGAAGCAGAAAACTTGGCTTGGCGTTTAGTTCGGCTCGCAAATGAAAAACAGCACATGTAAGCATTTTATAAACCCTTGGGGTTTAGGGTTTAGGGTTTAGGGTTTACGGCGTTAAGGCTAGGGTTTACGGCTAATGACTGCTGGACGACGGGGCATAGGGTTTAGGGTTTAGGGCGTTATGTTTGGGGTCTAGTGCTAAGCACAGCGGGACAACGTTTTAGGGTTTAGGGTTTAGAGCCTAGGGTCTGTTTGTTGTGCAGACTGAAGGATCTGTTGTCGGCTGTTTCTGCTGAGCGGCGGCCTGCGCTGCAGGAGTGGGCACAAGTTGAAGACGTAGGTGGACTTGCTGCTGTTGCTGCTGTTGTTGCTGCTGCTGCTGGACCAATGAGCCTATAGTGTTAGTAGTGTTTGGGTTTTAGGCGCCTGTTGTTTATTGTATTGTTGCCATGGTTGCTGCTCCTCCTCCTCTTCCTGCTGCTACTACTCCTCTTGCTGCTGTTTCTCCTCATCCTCCTGCTGCTGTTGCTGCTGACTGTTGTTTTTGCTGCAGAAAATGTTGCAGTATTACAAGAGCCAATCTGCATCGCATGCATTAGATAGTCGTCATACATACACTTTAGCAGATCAATCCCTTGACGTGCTGCGGCTGCGGGTAACCTGCAGCAGCAGCAGCAGCTTACCCCCTGCATGGGCAGAGAGGGCATTATGTACAGTTTGTGGCAGCGGTGATGATGGAGAAGACGATCCAATTATCTTTTGTGATGGTTGTTATTCACCAAGTCATTTTTCTTGTCTTGGATACAGCAACAGCAGCTTTGATGCAACAGTTGCTGCTGTTGCTGCTAAACGCAGACGCAGAGCACTTGCTGCAGGAGGGGATAAAGGGTTGTCGCCTGCAGCAGCAGCAGCAGCAGCAGCAGCTAAAGCCAAAGCCCAACAAAACAACGGCAACAACAGCAATACCAACAATAGCAATGGCAACAACAGCAACAACAACAGGAATGCTAACAACAGCGCTGTCGGGAAGACCAACAATAGCCGCAGCAGCAACAGCAGCAGCAGCACAGAAGACAGGAGACCTGTGGGTGGTGCAGGGGGTTTTGCTCCTGCTCCTGATGCAGAAGAATGGTTGTGTCCCCTTTGTTCTTATTTACGTAAACAGCTGCCGCTGTTAGATGAGGAGATGGCATTAGCAGCAATACGCCTTGCTGCTGCGCCTCGTACAAAAGCAACAGCGGTTGCATGCATGACACCGCATCATAGTGATTGGGGGCAAGAACAATATGATGCATTTAAGCATTTCTCCCCTCCTACTCTCTTAGGTCTGCATCATGGTGATGGTATTAAGCCCAAAGGGTTTAATCATAGAAGAGCAGCATTAGCACAGTACCACAACCCTACCCTCCCTCCTTCTGTTCGTGTTGATAGAGATGTTGTTGCTGCTGCTATTGCTGCAGCAGCAGCAGCGCAAGCAACGAATGACCCAGGTGATAGCACCCCAACTACAACTGCCGCGGATGCTGCGCCACCTGCTGCTGCTGCTGCCGCCGCAGCGGAAAGTGCGGCTGCATCGACACCAACAAGGCCCAAAGAACCGACAGCAGAAGCAACAAGTGCTGCTGCCGATGGCAACAGCAGCAACGGCCACAGCAGTAACCACGACAACAGCAGCAGCAACGGCAGCAGCAGCAGCGACGTTACAGTTAATCCTGTGGACTATCTTCGTCAGATTCCCCTTTACTTCTCTGACTCGGAGGATGAAGACATGAGCTGTGTGGAGAATGTAGCAACAACAGCAACAGCGCAGCAGCCTCGTGGTGTGGGTGGGACGAAGGGTGGTGCTCAGCAGCAGCAGCAGGAAGATGAGCTGCTGCAGAGCAGCAAGTTTTACAGCAAGGACCCTAGACTAAGGTGTATAGTCGAAGTGTCTCCTATAAAGGGTCTCCTCGTTACCCTTCGTCTTCCTGTTTGCTGTCTCTGTGGCTTTGATGGATTCTGTGAAGGAGGAGGGCCTATGAGGAAAACAGATAAGGTAAGATATAGGTGCACAACTTATGTGCCTCCTTTTATCTTCATTAGCTGTCTCCATCTTGTCCTTATAATATGTCCCCTTTGGCTTTATTACCTAGTATAGTAATGGCTAGCAGTGTTGCTCCTCCTCCTGCGCCTAATTCTCCTGCTGCTGCTGCTATTGCTGCTGTTGCTGCTTTTGTTGCTGCAGGCGAAGACATGGGCCCATTTACGTTGTGCATTTGCCGTATGTGGTTACGTCCGTGATGAGCGTGTATTAGTAACAATAGAAGAATCCCGTTCAAAATTACGCTGTCTCCTTTGTCATAGATGTGGTCCAGCACCAGTTCAATGCTATTATCAAAATTGTACTCGTCCATTCCATATTTCTTGTATTACAGCAAATCGTTCTCTTCATACTGATTGGGATAATAGTAGACCTCTTATCTTTTGTCATGTACATTCTAAGGATAAAGCACCTACTCTTGTAAGTTTATTATATTATACTATAATATATATATATATATATATATATATAT